GTTAAAAAGAAGGATGGTTCACTGCGACTTTGTGTCGACTACCGCCAGCTGAACGCCGTTGCGTTGAAAGATTCCTTCCCGTTCCCTCGTATTGATAGTACCTTGGAAGCGCTGGCCGGGGCTGCCTGCTTCTCGACTCTGGACTTGCAGTCTGGTTACTGGCAGGTGGAAATGGCACCCGAAGATTGGTCAAAGACTTATTTTCCATTCCCTCGGGGTCATGTGAGTTTGAGACCATGCCCTCTGGGTTGGTGAACGCACCTGCAACTTTTCAACGCCTGATGGCGTCGATCTTACGGGATTTATGCCTCTCCGTGTGTCTTGTTTACCTGGACGATGTCATCGTCCACGGGTCCATGATGGAGTTGCATTTCGCCAATCTCCAGGCTATTTTCAACCGTCTCCAGGCCGTAGATCTTAAACTGAATCCAGCGAAATGCTGCTTTTTGAAGAGCTCTGTTCCCTTTTTGAGTCACATTGTGTCAACTGACGGAGTTAAGACCGATCAAACACAAACTGAGCAGATTCAACCCTGGCCACAACCTACGTCCGTTTCTGAACTCCGTGGCTTTCTTGGTCTAGTCTCCTATTACCGCAGGTTTATCAAGGATTTTGCGCGTATAGCGGCGCCTCTAAATCGGCTTATGGGCAAAGAACCTGTTTTCAACTAGTCTTATGAATGCGCTAGCTCTATTTAGGAACTCAAACGTCGTTTTACCATATCCCCGCTGTTGGCGTTCTCTAACATGTCGGACTCAGTCTCTTCTTAAATCTTGAACACAGACGCTTCTGATGTAGCAACTGGGGCGGTCCTTTCTCAGCAGCAGGCGGACGGACTTGAGCATCGTCTTCTTTTTGCCAGTCAGTCTCTCTCTAAGCCCGAGCGAAATTATTCTACTACTCGGAAGGAGCTTCTAGCTGTCTTGACGTTCGTTAAGAAGTTCCACCACTATCTGACTGGCAAACTGTTCATAAGATACACCGATCATCAAGCGCTGCGCTGGTTGGAGAACTTCAAGGATCCAACTGGCCAGCTTGATCGCTGGCAGTCAGACCTCTCGGAGTACTCATACACGGTCGTCCATCGCGCCGGCAAGAAGCACCAAAATTCAGACGCCTTGTCCCATTGGGCACCAATGCCAACGCCATCGCTATCAGACGTCCCACAGACTGTCATTACGACTGGTACTTTGGATCGCTCACAGTGGGCGTCAGCCTAAGCCGCAGACCCGTATTATCCCTGATTTATGATCGCCTACAACATGGGGCTTCGAAACCGTCGAGCGAAGAGGTGGGGGGGTCGCCTCTGTGGCGACGTGCTCTTTCTTCAGTATTCCCACACCGACCCCTACCGCTTGGTTTTACCTCATGATACGATTCACCCCACTCTTTTGCGCCTCCCCAGCGAGCTGGTTCACGCCGGCCAGCATCACGCCTACATCACCACGAGACAACGGTTTTGGTGTCCGAATCAACGACGGATCATACAAGATATCTGTAACACCTGCTCCGTATGCGCAGAGGTCAAAAATCCCAACCCCGCCCATCGCTCACCATTCACCACTCCAGCCCATTCAGGCAGGGTATCCTAACGAAATTGTTGGCGTGGACTCGATGGGTCCGCTGCAGCCTTATCATCTGGGCAATTGCTAC